AATGAATTAAGAGAAATTAGGAATTGGGACTAAAAGCTACTAACCAGATAGTGGAGCAAGTTTTGCAGCATCCAGTGATGGCTTCGGATACTTAGTTTTGTGGTCATTTGAAACTTTTCCAGTTGGTGAATACGCGGCAACACATCTCTTGACAAATCATATATCATATTTTCATCAAAGCATATTTGTATGCTTTAGCATTTCGATGCAAAGATAACAGCTCTTTCTGAGATGGAAGGATTTAATTCCTGGAACAAGTATAACCTATCCAAAAGTTAAGAATGTTGAGCCACAAGCAATTCTTTCACTTTGGACATTAAAAGCACAAAAGATAATTGCCCAATATTGTATAGACCAAATGCATAATTAAGGCTTTCCTGTGATGAAATTTCACATTTGAAAGATAACTTACATAAATTCACTGTGTTATATAGTCTTTATTTTCTATTTACACGAAGTAGGAGATCTTTACAATGGATTAACTATAATGTTCATTAATGTTAGTTTCTGACTTCGTTCTTCTCTTCAAATATTCGTCCTTTCGTAACTTCGTTTTTTTCTGTTCTTGTCTTGGCTGTCTGTTCTGTCAGGTTGAGCTTCTTAACGTTTCATATGCTTTTTACTCCGCTAGTCCACTGAAGGTCGGGGTGTTGTGCATGCCCTTTTATAGTAACGGTTGAGGGAAACTTGCAGACGTCATCAACCAAAGTGGGCTGGTCCTGATCCAACCAATCAACGTTGTAAGTTAGAAATGTGGGTTGGCGTTAGAAGCTCGTTCCAACTCTCATATCTTGTTTGTATAAGGCGTTGACGTCAAGTTGGTCTTTAGCTCAATCGGTCAATACTTAAAAATGTTCACAACTTAAAATATTTATCATCAACAACTAGTAAAATTTTCAAATAATACCTCCGTGAACAATATCCTTTAACTTAACCTATTTTTACTCTTATTTTTATCGATTTAAACTTTTGATGACGTAATCCTTAAAATGCTCGACCGCTCATTATAAAAAGCACAGTTGATTGACATAAGAGCTTACATTTCCTACAGCACGCTCATTTTTATACTATGTAGCAGTTGAGCTTATCAACGACTTAGAACTGTTGATCCACACATTTACTTCTGTCATGGTGATAAATGTTTTCCCCTAATTACTCACTTGATCCCACGATATGTCATACATGAAAGGGAGTGTGATTAATGCATGATTGCGAATGGCCGAAAATTTATATTTACTCAGGCATCTTGTGGCAAACTTAATCACTAATCCCTGTCATGCTATTGCTACTTCTATTTTTATGGCTATTTTTATATGCGTATCTCTAAACACAATGAAGCATTGCGTAACAATCCTCCTCACCTAGAATAAGCTGTCCCCAGCTTCGTGTGAGGTATAACGAACTTAAGTTAACTAAATATAATAGTATCATAGATATGTGTGTACATATAATATGTTTACAAATTCCCAACTATTTTAATTTGTTTTTGAGCTCGGCGCGGCTATCACGGGCATATTACCAAATGCCTAACAACTGAGATTATACAGAATAGTACGTGTTGTTATTCTACGACAACACTACATAATCGATTATACAAGATACAACTGATCTAAATATAATTGACTTATCCCTATATGTACCTCAGGGGTAATCTACAATTAAACATATTCCATTTACTATATAAGCGTAGCACAATATAAACGAAAACAACTATTTACATGAAGGCAGAGGCGAAACTGCTTGCCTTCCTAAACGGATGATTCCTGGGACAAGTGGTTAGAAACGGATGGGCATCGGGGCAACCCACAGTCTACACATTTGTCCTGTATAGTCATGTCCTGTAACTCAGATTGATCGTCGTTTATCTCAACGTCAATGTCAGCTTCGTCAACATCAGATGATGTGTCAGGTTTTTGAAAACAGTTTTGTTGGTTACGTATGTACTGATATAGACAGAATACTGCCAAAAGTACGACCGCACCCCAGAGTAGGGAACCACTTAAACCTCCCAATACATCGTGAAAGAATCCGCCTGCGCCTCGGGCAGCGTGCTCAAACGCACGACCGGATGAATCTATAACGTTTCCTGTGGCTTTGCCTAAGCTGGTTATAACTTTTTCATCGAGATCTCCAAGACCTGTCAAGCCGTCATGTAGCGCTGATCCTACTGCCTTTTATGATATGACTTCCACCGGAAGATATGCCTGATAGAGTAATGCCAATTATTTTGCCTATACCTAATGCGACATTATTATCCTCGTCTGCTGCTCGAATGTTGTCCAATTGTTCTATTGTTTCCTGAGTCTGCGCCAGAATATCAAGAAGCGAGAATGTTTCAAATGGCTCTGGAATATATCGTAGTAATCGTGGATTAATATCGCCAAGTTTTAATATGGAATTTGAGAAGGCTGGTAAATAAGTCTTGGTATAATTAGTTTTAGACGCAGTGCCATTGCGGTCGACATACCACAAGGTTCCTGAATGATCAGCAATATATGTGGCGTCCGGAATATTATCACACGGTATTGACTTAGAATGGCTATAAAGTCGACGTTGGGTAAGTGAGAGATACTTAATCTGATTGTTTGCATGAAGATAAACTGGAAACTGCGAATAACATGTACCGTTATAAGTGCGATTTAAAAATAAGGTGTAATCGGTTTCATTATAGCATTGACTCAACAGATATGCATCTCCATTTGGGCTTATTGTGTGACCCTCTCTGCTAGAGAACCATCGGGAGCTACTATGGGGGAAGTTTTCAATTGCCCACCGGTATATCCTAGACATTTTTTGGCGTTGGCGACATATGTTTTCCCATGAACGAATCATATTTATATACGTTCCTGTTCGGACAAGGCAGCTAAATGACTAACGAATAAGTTAACTTGTACAGAGAACACGCGTGCAAGACTTCTAATAGCTTGACCAGGCAGCTTAAGATACAAGTCCCTAATTTTTAATGACTTCAATTTGTTTTCAAGTTGGTCTAGTGCGCCGTAACGATGTGCCAAATTATTATAACATATCCGCTATCGAGAACCATAATTGCTTTTTCGCGAATTTTTACAATGGTGCCACTAATGCTCAAAGATGGAATGAGTATGTAATTATCAATGCGATGCGCTGTAAATTTACCAAGCGAATGATACAACCGAGTATCATGATGCACTAGTTGTTTCCACACAATTGAACTTTTAGGCTTTTCACGGGGTCGACAATGATATTGAGGGTAGCGACAACGAGTATGTGTTAGATGTTGTTGAATATACCTATCCTTGCATGTTAGTCGTGCAGCATATTGAATCACGCGAAAATGGATATAAGTACGCGTCCTAGTTTTCAACCACTTACAGCTATATGAATCTGGAGTATAAGTCCGCCATTCTCCATTTGAATGCTGTTTCAGTCTTCCGTAGTGCGTCTTACGATGAATTGCTGCTTTGAAACACTCACGGTTAGAAACCGAAATTGTATGCAAGGTGTGATGTCTGCTTTTATGACCAAAAAAATTTTCAGAACACGTCATTCGTAATCGTTGGGCAGTGCAGTGAAAAATAGGCAGATGGGAGCTTCTTGGTGAATATTGCAGAACGTCAGCTTCGAAATATTTAACTTTAGAATCACTAAGGTGCATATCATGCTCACAATGTGAATAATCAGTAAATTTGTATAACGCGGTATGGTATACGCGTGAACAGTCGTAAAGAGGTCCAAGGTTAATTGAATTAGCAGACCCTATTGTGATATATGTTACAAGTAATACTAATATGGCTACAAGATTATATATGGACCTAAAAAGGTGTAGCGCTCGCTTCGTATTACGCTGATGTGTCTGTTGCTGCTGATTCGATGTCGGGGTCTTGCAAGACAATGAATTAATGGAGGGTTGTGTTTGTTCTTGTGTTACCATGTCTGATTCTGTTACCCACGAATTTTGTTCACTCGGAAAGCCTAACCATTTCACGAGGTATTGTTTCTGACCCTTTCTTAAGCGCGTCTTCAAAACTTTCTCAATTTGATTTATTTCATCGTCACTAACATGGTCTGGCTGACTAGGCACATTAGAGGTATGCGTTTTCCCGTTTATTTCTGGCGTTTCATCATCGGAAGAGGAGTCTGATTCAGTATCTCCTTTCTTTTCAAAGCTGTCCTGTGGAATTTCGTCTTCGCGCATAGTAAAATCACCATCAAATGGGTCATTGGGCGATCATTCGCGTCGTAAAAGAGTTTCATACGATTAACATGTACCGGTGTCCAAATAAGACAGTTTGCTGAATTTCTTAACTTAAAGTTCACAGGAGATACTTTCTCTACAATACGATAGGGACCATGCCAACAATGCAATAATTTTTTTGACAACTCCTTTTGGGTCTTTGGTGTAAATATCCAGACACGCTGCCCAATTCTATAAGCATCTGGTTTAGACTTCGCTTTAAATCGTAGCGGGCTTTCATTTGTTGCTGAGTTCGTTCCGTGTTTACTTTAGCTAATCGCTGCGCTTCCTCTATTTGTAAGACGATACGAGCCCTATGTTCCGCAATGGACGTTGAGAGCTTATCAGTTTGAGGCGGTAATATATTGACATCTACAGGTAGACGCGGTTCGCGTCCATATGGAAGAGAGAATGGGGAATCCCCAGTTGTCGCCTGTGGTGAGGTCCTATATGCAAATAGTATCCATGGTAAAAACTCATCCCAATCCTTTTGATTTGCTGATACATACATTGATAATGACTGCGAAATAATGCTATTAAATCGTTCAACAAGCCCATCCGTTTGTGGGTGATAAGCGGTTGTGTTGAGTTTTTTGATGTCTAATAACCCACACACTTCACGAATTAGTTTTGACAGAAAATTTTTACCTCTATCTGAAAGCAACGTTTTTGGCGCTCCATGTCGACAGAATATTTCATTCACAAGCAATTTAGCTATAACTGTGGCTTCAATTGTGGAAACTGCAAATGCCTCTGGCCAGCGCGTAAAGTAATCTGAAAAAACTACAACATAACGGTTTCCTGAATACGATTCTGGGTATGGCCCTAAGCAATCAACAGCGACTCTATCAAACGCTCCGTCGACAGGAATCGGTAATAAAGGAGCCTTAATCCTATTTCGCGGTGTTTTACGCATTTGACAATCAATACACGACCTTACCCAATGTTGTACATCCGTGAACATACCAGACCAATAATAGCGCGTCCTGATTTTTTCATACGTTTTTTCTAGGCCTAAATGACCACCTAGCGGGCTATCGTGCAAGGACTTTAATATTTCAAAACGCAAAGAAGCGGGTACGACCAGTTGAATTTTAGTATCAGGTCGGTTGCGGCCTGTCGGAGTCAACAAATGATGTAATATGCCATGCTCATATAGTAAAAACTGGTCAACTTGGTTTAGAATAGTTCTTGACGCTTTTTCCTCGTCTGGCAGTGTTTATGTTTCGAGATATGTGATAAGTGGTGCCAAATTCGCGTCTTTTCGTTGCATTTCATGAATTCGTGCCATCTCGGTAGAGAGAGGTTTTAAAGCAGCTAAGGTACTAGAATAAGCACGCCGTGAAAGGCTGTCTGCGTTGCCATTAGCTATCCCTGGGTGATGTTTTATTTCGAAATCAAATTGCTAGATAAATAACGACCATCGCGCTAATCTTCCGGTGACATCTTTGACACTCATAAGCCATTTTATGATTTTAAAGCGTTATGATCTGTGTGCACCGTGAACTTATGCCCATATACAAAATTAATACGGTTGAAATTTCTTTATACCGTCAATTACTGCCAAGGCTTCTTTTTCTGTAGCAGAATACGAGAGCTCGGCCGAATTTAAACTACGACCAGCATATGCTATCACAACTTCCCGGTTATTCTGAATTTGACCGAGGGTCATTCCTAATCCATCGAAACTTGCATATACATATAAATCGAATTGTTTTGTGAAGTCAGGGTAACACAGAATTGGAGCTGATATTAACGCCGTTTTTAAGATATCGAAGGCTATTTGACAAGCATCGGTCCATTGAAATTTTACATTCTTATAGAGTAATTGCGTAAGTGGTTTAGCAATTTTCGAGAAATCTTTCACAAAACGTCGATAATAGTTAGCTAGGCCAAGAAAACTACGCACATCCTTAACCTTTTTTGGAACAGGAAAGTCTTTTACGGCACTAATCTTATCTGGATCTGGTTGAATTCCTTCTCGTGAAACTATGTGGCCCGAATATTTGACTTTAGGAAAGGCAAAATGGCATTTAGTGGACTTAAGTTTAATATTGCTTGTCTAAGGCGCAGAAATACCAAATTTAAATGTTGTAAATGTTCTTGAAAGGAATGGGAGAATATGATTATGTCGTCGATGTATATTAGACATATTTTCCAATTTAATCCTCGTAAGACATTTTCCATCAATCGCTGAAAGGTGGATGGTGCGTTACACAGTCCGAAAGGGAGTACATTGAATTGGTATAGGCCGTCATAAGTGGTAAATGCTGTTAATTCTTTTGACGATTCGTCCATTTCTACCTGCCAATATCCAGAAAACAAATCTAAGGTGGTAAAGAATTGTGTTTGGCCTAATAAGTCCAAAGTTTCTTGAATATGCGGTAAAGGGTAAGAATCCTTTTTTGTTACAGCATTCAGTTTCCTGCAATCAACACAAAAACGAGTTGAACCATCTTTTTTTACGAGCACTACTGGACTCGCCCATGGGCTAACTGAAGGTTCAATAATGTTGGCCTCAAGCATTGTCTGGATGTGTTCTGTTATAGTCTCGCGTTGTGTTGGTGCAGTACGATATGGTCTTTGTCTTATAGGTGGAGAACCATCAGTAAAAATTTGGTGTTTAACGATGGATGTTCGACCTAAATCATGTGTATTTTGTGAAAAGATATCCGCATTATCCGATAAAAACCCATGTAGTTTATTCAGTTGATCAGTTGTTAAATCTGGTGAAATATCAAATTCATATTGATTTGTTTGCTCAGGATTCTGTTTAGTCGATACAGAAGGGTTATATGTTTGCTCTGCTGATAAGGACATAATATTACTGATCTGATTTTGTTGAAAAAACGTTCCCAGTGTCGTATACCTATAAATTTTGACAAGTCTTTTAGTAGGATTTACCAGGCGAAAGGGGACAAGCCCTGGTGGGGATACGTACACAAGCGCTGCGGCTCCACAAACATTAAATCGCTGCGGTAAATTTGCATTTACCTCAATCAAACCCATTGTTTCAGTTAAATAATTTTTCTTAAATGTTGCCGGAATGACACTTTCAGAATTTGGTGGAATAACATGAGTATCAGCCGCATAAATGGTATATCCTGAATTATCATGAATTTTAGGTTCTATGTCTGCGAATGGTACACCCGTTTCACCTATTCTAAAACGCTTAAAGCGTTAGTTCTAAAATTTAGAATTGCGCTTTGATGCGTCACCGGAATGTTGCCTGTGCATTCTAGGGATCATTAATGTGTCGAATTATTGAGCTCAGTGGTTGCTCACTGATTTTTATTCACAAGATGGCGGGCAGTACTAGCCGTTCGCTTTCTTACGAATTGATAAATGAAGAGCAAAAGAAAATCCTGCGAGAGTTTTACGAAAGAGGGATGACGACGGCGTCCAGAAGTATGGAGAAAGTAATTATAGAAGCTGCAAGTAAAGCAGGCATCACTGTCGATAGAGTAAAGGTACGATATTATGCTAATTTTTGAAATTTCCATTATTCATACTCATCCTCTTTTGGCTCAAGTTTATTTGCATAAATACGACAAAATAACATGGCCAGCTTAGCCATTAGCTGATTTAAGTTTAAGAGGCGCTCATACGTGCTCCAAGATCCCAGATTCATTAAATCAGATTCATTGAGATTGGAGATCTGAACTGCAATGACAAGTGACAACCATGTCTGGGCAAAAATAGCGTAATTTTTAAACATGTTGCCCACCATTGCATGCAGCTAGGCTAGTTAGCATTGAAGGCCAGATATCACACTAATTTGTAATTTTAAGGATGTTTGCTGGTTTATATAAACTTGTCATTGTCAGGCATTTAGTAGGTTAGGAATTTGATTATTTGAAGAATCAAGAAAGATCACATTCTCATTGAACCGAATCTCATTGAAATCAGTAGTGTAGCCAGCCTGACAATTTGTCCCGCTATGCAAATATATAGCATATTTGTCCCAAATAATAGTCTTCCGTCAAGTGCCAGCCCTACCCGAGTCATCTCTTCAAGTTAGGCATGTTGAATTGTGTATTGCTTAAAAAATAAATATTTATTGATTTTAAAGTAACAAAAACAGTGCACTCTTCTTGTAATTATGATGGTAAAATAGTTCTAAAGATTGATCATTGATGGTAATCCCTGCATATGTGTCATTCCAAGAGAACTTTTGTGAACAATATGTTTATATTTATTATAGAATGACTAGAATGATTTGCCAATGCTTAGCAGTTAGCTATTTTAATCTCTTAGAAATGGATTGGAAATGAGAAACAAAGCAGAAAAAGAAAATCTGCCTCAGAGGAGACTGTTTTGCCCCAGATGTCTTGTCCATCAAAGCGTAAAATAACTGCCTATAATTTATTTTGTTCAGAAGTGCTAAACTCAGGTTAGATAGAGTGGCGTATCTAGCCCAACAATTTAGTTGTGCTATGCTAATATTTTGGTGTTCGTCGACTGTGAAAACAATTAATTTCTAAAGAAATGAATAATGATAATACCTAAAATATGCATAGCATGACTAAATTGTCAGGCTGGCTACATTACTGGTTAGATATATAATTAATCTGCCTTAACAAGTCACAGTTTTGTTCTTAGTTAACACTATTGAAACAGTTTACATTGCTTTCTATTTTTATTTATCCATAATCAATACAAAAACTGAATATGCAATATGCTCTTTGATTTTTAGAAGAGTGCAAGTGTCTTAGTACTAATGCAGAAAGACTAAAACTAGCGGTAGACAAATGGAACATGCTTGGGACAGACCAACGTGGTATGTGGGATGAACGGGTAAAAGCCCTGCAGAGCAACAATGTTAGTGGCTTGAGTGAGAAGCAGCTCAAGAACCAAATCAAAAAGACAAAGAAACAACTTTCTTCACAGGTACAACAGTTAAAACAAGTTGTCAAAGTTGATATTTCTTTGAATGTTATGTTGGTTCTATAGTCTATCAAAAACGTCAGAACTGTACCACTTTTCTAATGGTGAACATAAAATACCAGACAATCCAACTTTCCACAATCTTTTGATTGAATATAAAAGTAATGTACCTATTAATGGGAAACAGTGGGAGTACTGGAATGTAGTTCAGAGGAAGCAGTGATTAATTACAGGATGTATTGGGACTAGTACATGTTATCACAGTTATTAGAATATACATGGTTTGGAGACTAGATGGAAGTGCAATACAACTCATTATCTATATTATTGTCCAGGTTTATGCAAAAAATGATTCCTTATCCATCACATGTCTATTGTATTTTCATCCAACTAACCAATATCAATAGCTTGGCTTAGCTCGATCCTCAACTGTGACTTGAACAACATGTTAATTCAGACCTTACTATTGGTTTATTTGTTCAAAATACAACAGACACGTAATGAATAAGGAACATTTTTTTCCATAAATGTTCTCAGACATTCATGCAGTTAATGAGTTCTATTGTACTTTTATGTAGTCTCCAAACCATGTAGTTCTATTAACTGTGATGTTATGTTCTGGTTGATGATTATTGTTCCATTTTAGCTTGCTTATTTGGAAAGCCTTGGTTGTGAAGTGTCAGTTTTGTTCTCAGAACCTGGTGATGCCTGTTTGCAGCAATTTGGGACAGAGAAAGGGCTCAAATTTCTACAAGAAAATGAGAAAATCAGTGTCAAGTTTGTTGAGTATTTGGGTTTGTATTCATTGCACATTACATTTTATCATTTGGCTCTTTATGGATCTGCCTTAATTGTATTACTTTACCAGAACATATGACAAAGTAAATTACGAAAAAGAATGGAATGTCAAAATTTAGAGCAAGGCAGTTCTTCCAAAATTACTGTACTGAGAAAATTATTGTTTTTCTTTCATGAATATGAAAGTTGAGTTCATACAAAGTCATGCTATATGAGTTTGACTTTAGAAGTGTTCAAAACCTCGCATATGTTGTGCATAAAGTAATTAATATAAATTCTTTTTATGTTTTGTATATGCAGACTCTCCCAAAAAAGTTGAAGTGAACTACAAAGTATGTGATGTTGTAAAACTGTTCAACCAGAAATACAGTAAGTGTTTGCAGACACTTAGCCAGTCTGAGGATTTAGTAGTGCTATGTAAATTTTTTTGTTATTATCATCATTCATTTTTTAAGAAATTTATATATATATATATATATATATATATATATATATATATATATATAATATATATATATATATATATATATTATATATATTATATATATATATATATATATATATATATATATATATATATATATATAGCTAATCTGTGATTACATGGATATTTCCTTGCATGTGTAATTGTATACAGTATGAAAACATTGTTATAGTCCATGCAATTATTCTGTTAGGTGAAGTTTGTGGAAAACCCTGCAGAGTTCCATATGCAAAAGGTGGCTTCACCGTGACAGGACTACCAGAGGGCATTGTGTTTAAGAAACCTGGCCAATATGGTATGAAACAAATCTCTCATATTATGAAAAATGCTGACAACATCAAATTTGTTCTGAACGTGGTACCAACGAACAAAATCCCAGTATGTGATCACGTGACTGAAACAGAAAGAGCTACATACAGGTCGGTGTTAAAGAAAATAATTGATGATGACTCAGTAATATCGTCATGTTTGCTGAAGAACATATTGATAAAGGAAAGTGATTTAAATGTCATTGACATTGACTTGTCAAAGTCTGAATTCAGTTTGGTAACTACAAAGTTAAAGGAGCTGTTTGATGCAGATGCCCTTGCAGCACTAGTTGCAAACTATAAAAGTGGCGAAGCTCATCAAGGGTACATTCTCCCAGTTTATACGGATACTGATGAACCATATTGGCTATTCTACTATCCTGGATCAGCAGATGGTATTGAGTTGTTGTCTACAGAAGACAAGATCTTTGGGTATTGGTTGGACAAAACAAAGAAAGAGTTTACCAATACTACATACAAACTTCTTAATGAGAAAACATGTATTGTTGGGTTAAATGTCATATCTGACCAAGATAAAGGACCCGGAACATTGCGTCTTAAAAGGGCAATCTTAAATGGTCAAATAAGCATACCTTCCAGTTTTGATACCTCTGTTCTAGAATGTTTAGCAAAACAAGACTTTCTATAAAAAGTGCAACCTAAATTTTAAAAATTATGTAGCTATCTAATTTTAATTGTTGTGGACATAATCTTAAATGATGTTATAGCGCATTGAGGCCCACAAACACCTGCGGAAAAAAGACTTTGACATTCACAATTTATAAATATTTTAATATAAGTATCCTTATTCTATAATGTTTCTAAGAAATGTATTACATTTTCCAACATTTGCCACTGTTCATCATAGGTTGTTGCCACACTTATCATGTTCATAAATTTTTCTTGTGTTTGATCGTCAAGAGTCACAACATTTAATATATTTTTAACCAGGTGCTGAAACATTATCAGATCTTCAAAAATAAGCAGTTTTTCAATATCTGCAATTGAAAATTTTGTCACTTTTGTAAGACCTAAAAAGACTGGCTGAAAATACTTATCACAATCAGGTTTCCGATATAAAATAATATTGCTAGGCTTCAGGTCTCCATGCAAGAATCCATTTGTATGCATATGGAGAAGGCCTTTAGCGATATCACATATTATTGACATCCAGTGGGGTGAATTCATTCTTTTTGTTGGTCCTTCTGCTATTGCAGCAGAAATAGATAACATAAGTCCAATTCTTTTTGCACCATAAAATTTAGTCACCGAAAGGTAAGGTTGTTCTTCACAACATAGCCCAATCAACAGGGGGAGACATGGGTGACTTGGTAGATCAAGGATTTTCTCTGCTTCGTGGATGGGCTTGACTGTAAATTCTTGCACTGCAACCGTAAGATCTCTGAAGTGTTTAGCCACTGTTGTTGATGCAATACCATTGTCAAAACTGTACAATGGTTGGTCATCCAATTTAACAAAGTCTAACAGTTCAGCTCTTTTAAGAAAGAAGCTTTTTGGAATTGTAGCTGATGCTTGCCCATAAATTGCAATTGAATCATTGTCTGCATGAGAAAAAAAGAGGATGTTACTGTATTTTCTATTTTCAGTTGGTGTGTGCATTCAATTGTATAAATGTGTATAAAAATGCATATACATGTATATACAGTATATGTACAGGGTAGCTTGAAAATAGATTTTTTTCAGAAAAGTGTTATGTGCACCAATTAATCACTTACCATGGGGTTTAGTATCACTTGCTATTATGCGGCGGATTCCCGAGTAAAAGTAGACATGATTACTGTGAATTCTCCTGAGACCAGGGAAACAATGTCGAATTATAAAACCACACTCCCTGGATGAAACATGATCATTCTCTAGCTGGGCTGCCTGCTCATTAATGTCATTCAGAACCTTGTAGCACTCCACACGCGAAGTTCGATCAGCCACATACAATTTTGACAGCCTTTAAAAGAATATGTAAAACTTGAACAAATCAGACATTTTCAGTGCATTTTCATGTCATCAAACTTTATTGAATATACTTTGCCAGAGCCACAGACTAAACTCTTGTCAGTATTTAGTATGACCGCTTTTTTAGAGAGTTCCTATCGTGAATTCGTGATGTATTTTATTAAATGCGTAGGTTAGATCTGGGTTAGGATCAGGGTCAGGTATGAAATAACTTTGATTTTTGAAATCTAAATCTTTGTTTATGCAAAATTTTTACTAACCTAACTGTCCTAACATTGAATATAGGTAGTGACGGAGTAACCTATAATTGCTCCGGTGCTGGTGACTTACCGAGATGCCCGAATTGCACGAAAATCTGATGAAATAAATCTTTGTTTCTTCTTATATTTTACGCATTTAGCTGCAGTTGGTGTTATTGATTCAGCCATACCTGGCCAGAATTCTGTGTAATACTGCGGCGTTTGCCGTTTGGCAGTGTGGGGTCTGGATCTGGAGCATGCGATCACATTTGCTATCACACACGGACTGCATGACTGCGCGCGATGACGTATTTCTAAACAGTGCTGCCAAAGGGTGCTGAGATCAATTCTAAGTTTCCAAAGTTGAATGAAAATGTAAGACAATTTAAATCATTTTGTAAAAAATCAGGGGAAATCGTGGAAATAAACTAAAAACTAAAAAATGTATCTTTGTAGAAATAATTAATAGAAAATATAGGGTGCATTTTGGAGGTGTGTAGTCGGAAGGCTGTAGATGTATAATATATCGTGAAAACACACCCTATTTCAACAAAAAAAAGTATTTTTGAAGAAATAATAGAAAATGTAGGGTGCATTTTGGAAATGTGTGGTAGGAATGTTGTAGATGTGTAATATATCGTGAAAACACACCCTATTTCAACTAAAAAATGTATTTTTGTTGAAATAATAGAAAATGTAGGGTGCATTTTGGAGGTGTGTGGTAGGAAGGCTGTAGATGTATAATATATCGTGAAAACACACCCTATTTCAACAAAAAACGTATTTTTGAAGAAATAATAGAAAATGTAGGGTGCATTTTGGAAATGTGTGGTAGGAATGTTGTATATAGATGTGTAATATATCGTGAAAACACACCCTATTTCAACTAAAAAATGTATTTTTGTTGAAGTAATAGAAAATGTAGGGTGCATTTTGGAGGTGTGTGGTAGGAAGGCTGTAGATGTATAATATATCGTGAAAACACACCTTAATTCAACTAAAAAATGTATTTTTGAAGAAATAATAGAAAATGTAGGGTGAATTTTGGAGGTGTGTGGTAGGAATGTTGTAGATGTGTAATATATCGTGAAAACACACCCTATTTCAACAATAAACCACCCTATTTTTATCCATGCATGCAAATGACGTATTTAACGTAAATATTAGAAAATCAGGGGTAAATTTCGGAAATGTGTGGTAGAATGTTGTTTTTGTGTAATATTTCGCGAAAACACACCCCATTTTTAACCAAATGACGTATATTTGTGAAAATATTAGAAAATATAGGGTATGAAATATGTATACTATAAAAATTGCTTATCGAATTTAATTGAATATAAGGACGTTTCATTATAAAATCGCTTTAGCACTACTCTACAAAAATGCCTATGAAACTATGAGAGATGATGTAATCATGCACTACATTGGTGACAATGCATCGTGCTGCAGTAGCAAATTGGAAAAAATACCCGGTCAGTCTTGGTGGGCAAAAGTTTATTATAGTTATATTCATAAAAGTACAATAGTTGCACCATGGAACTAAATATTTACAATCAACAACTAATGTTCACTCTCCGAGTCCTCGTCTGATGATTGAAGATTTAACGCAAAGTCACTCTCATCGCCAACTGAACTGGTTTCATCTAGCGATGCGTTCTCGCCAAAATCATACGCATGTAACGGAGATAACGAGTGCTCCGCTTCTACTTTCACAGTTGGCAGCTTTTGTTTGCTTGCTTCTGTCAAGTGATCAGCTAGCAAATATGATAGTGAGTACAGAGTGTTATCAAGGTTAACTATTTCTTTGTTAAAACATGCTACAGCTCCTCTCATTAATTTGGTTTGAGGTTCACTATGTTCGCGACCATACGACTCCAGTTCTTGCCTTTCGTTTAGGTAATAATTGATTAGCCTTTCACTCTCAATTTTAAGAAGTTCTTGCTCTTCCTTGCATCTCTGTAGGAAGTTGTGCAAATCAATTGCAGATCGTTTGACTGTAAACGGCACAGTATCTTGGTTTTGACCGGCCGGGGACTTAAAATCATTGTAAAGCTGCGATCCTGGATCTTTCGCCTCATCAAAATCGATTTCTTTCGGCAGTTCCTCGATCCAATCTTCCAAAGACTTCAGCGATGCATTGTATTTTCCCAAAGCAGTTTTAATAGCATTAGTCCTCTGCGTGATTTGCTTGGAAAGTTTGATAACTATTGCTTGCCCATCTATGGATAAGAGACACCAAGAAATATAAATATATATAGTATAATAATAGTTTACTCCAAAGATTACTCTCACAAAAAGCCATGCTGATATAGAAGAAACTGGAAAAAGGCAAAATGCAATCTGGTAGGGAACCAAATACAGTACACAAAAGTCAATGTTTACTGTATTATATAGAAATGTGTGCTTTAAATGTATCTATTTACCAATTATTACCTGCGTACTTCTTCTTCAATGAGATCAAGAACATTCTCTCATTTGCTAAGGCATAAGTTGACTCTATGACGGCCTCGTTTCTGCTCATCTCCAACGACAAGGCTGCAGCGTTAAATTTCCTCTCACCAGGTTTCCATCTTTTTAAAACCCTATGTCTTCGCTCGGTGTTTTCTACGAGTTTCACAACTCTAGAAATAGGTGATATAAGATATTTCTGTACTTATATCTACAACGGTTTACAAACACGAATAAATAGGCAATATTACGGGTGGTCTCTATGACTCTAATCGTGTAACTTTGCATCTACTAACAGGAAAAACTAGATAAATTATAGGTGTCTTACCTCTTGCTCTTTTTCACAATATCTGTGAAATACGTTTGGTCACTCTCCTTGGCGCATGCAATCTGCACCCTATAAAAACGAAAAAGGACGCATACTTGTTGATGTAAGGCTGTGACCTTTTTGATATTTTGCTAGTTGAAAATTGTATTAATTAAAGAACCCGTTATATATGACCACATAATGTTTCCAGTGCATTCTTGAACTAGCTAACTGGGCTAGAGCTACGAGCCCTCTCAAAAGATGTTTCAACTGATTTTCAGAAGAAGAAACCAACGCGTTCGCATGCTGTTTTACTAGAATATATACCCGTCAGTATACAGTGTATGTAATTACGCTCAACTTTACCTCAGCTGATAAAGCTCCAATAAATGCTGTACATAATTATGTTGCCACGTCAGTTCGGGTTTCCGTTTTCCTATGAAAATTGTTAATCTATATGAGAGAGCAGAAGTTCATAGACTTTTTTGTAAACATGCATACAGTATTACCAACACACCATTCTTTTCATTAATTAATTTCTCCTCTTCCTTGATCCATACTTCTATTATTTCTGGGTCATACGAAACATCTAGCCTTGAAAAAAGCTCCTGAGTTTGAGACAGTGTATTGGACATCAGTTCTGGAACCCTTTTCAGCTTCCCTGCCAGTGCAGATCCTGTATAACAATTTGATTATTACAGTTATACCTTCAGTTCTTCATGCTGCTGAAAATGCTCTAGCGCTCTAAAATCTATGAAACAACTTGCAGAAGTGTAAACTTCAAACCAGTAAGCGCAAGTGTACAGCAGCTGACCGCAAACAGCGCCGGATCTAGATTTACAATTACAGGTATGTAATTGAAATACTGTACTGTCATCAAAGACGAGAGGGGAGAACATATTAATATGTTCATGTTGTGCAAGGTTAGTTTCTCAACGCCACTGTGTGGTGTTTAGCAGAGGAAACATATATAAGTATACTGTAGAGTGTGTCTGTGTACGTATGTACTGTAGACGTGATAAGACATTACCAAAACATTGCCATACAGTAACTCAGAAATACACAGTTGTGAGCTTTCTATTTGGTAATTTTACATAGATGAAACAATTAATTAACAAAAGCTTTACCAAACTGTTGACGTTGACGAGTGGAGTAATGCAGCAATGCATCAGTCAATAGATCAATGCGCCGACCAGTGTTCATTTCTTTGGTCATTGCAGAGAACCTCCGAAGAAATGACCAGAGCCTCTCTACCCCTTCACCATCTGTCAACCCATATCCCAATTGTCTTCTAGGGCTATACTGTATCTAGAAGCGGAAACACATCTACGTGACACTTTTTAGATGGCTATCTTCTCGCTGAAGTAGGCAACACACCATTTGAAATGTAAATACACGTACCTGGCATGTTGACTTGTGTCCGTAGCAGTGAAAAATGGGAATTGCAAAAGTGACCTTTTCTAGTAAATCTTGTCTTTCATTTTTCTAAAAAAATGACAAAAAGCATTGTAGCTAAATGGTTTTTCGAATTGACGTGAGCCTAATAGTGTCATACACAAGCAGGACAAATAGACGAACTTTTGAAACACAGACGTCACGTATAGTTTCCTCACTAACCTTCAAATGTGCATTCAAAGTACATGCAATGTCATACATGACCTTTATTGTACAATTTTCGTTAGAATTGTCCAGCAGATGTTGAATGCTGAAAACTGAATACGCAATTCTGTAGAAAAATGACGCATAATTACTAGCAGTGCAACAAGCTTTGGGATACTGCATCGTCCACACAATACTCATATACATATTCAGTGCATATTTGAGATTATCCTAATGCGCAGTACTAAGGAGGTCCAAATTAAGTACACGAACCCTGTCCATCACGTGGAGAGATTTAGGGTGCAATATACCACTTTAGGGTGCAAAACATCACTTTAGAGTGCAATACATCATGCAATACTTACCTTTCCCCATGCTTTATATCCATAAATGCTTTAGGATAATCATGTCGGCAGACACGACCAAAAACACCTTTCACATCATATAATTTGTTCCTGCCTTTGGACCTTAACATGTTGTTCACCTCCCCAGCTTTAAATTCATTGCAATCCTAAAATTCACCACAAAAAGGAAAGGTACATCAATTTTAAAGTGTTCAATACAAAAATTTCATAATAACAGGGTATTCTTCTTGGGTGGGTTGTATAAAACTCTTAATTACATTTTAGGTAGTTACAGTGTAAATTGTAGTTAATCAGAAAATGGGCGAATAAAAGGCATAATGCATTATTCTGATTGGCTAATTCTGCAACTAACTATGGTTAAAAGTTAACTACCTTTTTATACAACCAGCCCCTGGAGGTAGGCGCTATCGCACCAGTACATGTACATGGATGAATCCCGCATCCAGTTTCACTTTTAAATTTAAGGCAATTTTGAGAAAGAGTCTATCATTGGTACATATGGTCGATTTTTTGATAATGAGGATAATTTTGTCACTTACAGTTTTTGCTTGCTCTGCCTTCAATGTGTAACTCTCAACAAAGTTGTCAACTTTTTCTTGATCAAAAAACATTGTGCATGGGTGCCTAGGTGCGAAGGATGCTTTACCAGAGGACTTCTTTCTCACAAGACCAAAGCAAGCGTCCATTGATTCAATCAATGTTCCAGCTTCATTGGCCTGTTAAAATAAGATGGAAAGAAAAAGAACTTTATTTCGCTTCGTTTTGAACAGTGTTCAAACTTTTATCTTGCCTAGCTGTTACATACAAATGTACAGTATTCATACTCACTGACACATACATAGACAATTCTATAGTACCGTATTTGTACCTTGGGGCAAAGAGGACATAGATTTTGTCCCTGACAACTGATGTGTTGCTTTACCATGGGGTATCTACTTCTCAACAAATGCTGATGGTACCTGCCAAAAATTTAGATTAACACAATCTGTGCTTGCACAAATGAGTACTACAGGGGGACATTCATGGTAGACATCTACTGTCAGCAACACAATAGCAATATATAAATGTTTGGGAAATCACATACCGAAATTCATCAAATGAATCACTATTCAGAGTTGAGTACATGTTCTTAACCTACAATAAATTGAATTTATACACATAATTAAGCTTCACCTCATTTAACTGTTACTGTACACAATATTCTGTTTACTTTTCATGTACACAATAGCTTCTCCACTAAAGAGGGAAAATATATGGGAACACTATATAAAATAAATAAAAAATATATATACGGTACAATATGCCCGATGGTCTACAGAACCAAAGCAAGCTTGGGAACTTAAACCATTTAGACAAAAATGTTTTTTCATACATTCATACAAATTATTTACATGGTGCTTCACAGACAGTCAAGAAATCTGTATTGAACAATGCATTTCACATAACAATAAAACATGTTTCAAAAAGTTAATAGAAATTTGAGGTAGACATTCTTATACTAAAAAATACATGTAGACCTACCCATAATGGTAAAGGTGAAGACTTTGTTAATATTCCCAATACATCACAAAATTTTCGAAGGGATACATGACACTCAAGTAGTAAAGTCTCTGCCAACTCCATTAATCTCAGATGAAATGCTAAGGAAGGGCGAGAAGCACTGCCTGGCCACAGCTTTAATCTTATTAATGTGACTGCATCCTTCTCACAATCACAAAATAGGATTCTCTTCTGATGTTGTCTACCTAAGAATTAAGAACACACATAGAAGCCCAAAGCAAACAAAACAGCAATTATTGGCCAATAGGCAGTAAACCCAACCTTTCCACCACAGGCATTTATGTAATAAATACATGTACCATGAAGTAATATTTTCTGAAGGTTCAATAACTTGATTCATGGCCTATAAACATACCATATTGATCTATGCAAATAACATTCCTTGAAACAGCTCCTGGACAGTGTGTTTGATGTCTCCCTGCAAGTACATTGTGGTTTGGGAAATATGGCAGAATTAAACCATCCTAGGAATGAATGAAATAAAAATGCAACATTTAATAGTATATATACAATTAACTTTTATATTACAGTAATAACAGGAATTATTCAAGGTATTTTTCCTCTTTCACCTGCATTATAACAAATAAAATAACTCCTTTCGGAAATAATAAAAAAGTAATCTGAGGTTTAATATTAGGGTGAATTTTTCAAAATCAAATATCCAATAACCATCTCTATGATTTGTTCTGTATTGATAATGAGTAAAGCATCCTTTTCATTAATTATGAAATATTTATGCGATTGCGTAAATACCTTGAACTTCTCTAACACGTGGAAGTAGTTGCAGGTATCATGAGTGCTGTTTGCACAACTCTCACAAAAATATGTGTTATGTCCACATTCGTTACAACGAATTGTAACCTCAGCTACTCTGCACTTAACACATTTTTCTTCGCTAAGAAACTCTTCTTCTTCAATTCGACCATCTAAAAGCAACTCCCGAATCTCTTGCCAGCCTTCGTATTCTTTTTCTCGTCGGGTCTGATAATCTCTTACGCAAGTGCTTTGTTCCATATTATCACTGATATTATCACACAGGTCATTGCTATCAAATTCAGGCCGAATATCTTGTTCTTTCGTACGTGATGGCGCTGAATTTGACTCTAATTTAGAGGAATCAGAGGAATTTGATTTCTTCAGGGTGATTTTCCTGGTAGTTGTCCTGCCACTCGTCGAAACTGAGCGCACTCGAAGTTTACATGACTTGAATCGCTTAGGCGGTCTGGCTGCCATTTTGAATTCTTATCGTCGGACGCATTGCAAATCCCAATACTGGTTCATCATCAGCCCCTGTGACAAACTGTAACACATCACTCAACATTACACCATTTCGTCTTCCGCCTGCAAATACAAAGAAAAATAACACGAGTCAGAATTATAGATATACCACCGTTGACCAAATTAAATTTTTGTCTTTGATTATAGGCGGTTTACTATTTTCTTACTTGAAGCTTCTCTAAGATATTTGGTGAGTTGGGCATATACTTCGTTTTCAAATTTTCGGGCATTTGAACCAGCTTCACTAAAGTTTGGTTGAAGTAACCATACAACCTTCCTGAAAGTCAATGGTTGTGCTGGTCCTGGTCTTAAAAGATTCAGAAATACTGCTAGTCGACATCCAATCTACAGTGTAAGAATATACTTCCATGTACATAAATTATAGGTATTTAACAAGATTTTGACTTGAATGTCTGCAAAATTTTACCTGATATATCCCAAGTTTCTTGAGGCCTTCACGTAATTGGAGTACACAAGGGGACGATGGATTATCCTTAGAAAATATACACTGGATTATTTCCTCTGATATAAAATTTGGCATTTTTCCATTTTGGAGAATGCTAAGGCCTATAAACAACAAAGAATAATGTCAGGATTTTAATATTATATATAGAGATGGTACAGCACTAAATTATATTTTTATGAGAATAGTAAACATGCTCTACTTGGATCATTACTTTTAAAGGACCAACACTTTCTCATTTAATTTCAGAACCTGTCTTATAATTATGTTTAATAATTTTAGAACCCTGATAAAAGAGCTAACATACTGTAATCATAGTAAATCAAAAAATTTTCTTATATGAACCTACAGCAGAACCTACACACCAACTAAAAAAATTGTGTGTGATAAATTGCAGGCATGGCCCCTGAGGCATGACTTGAAGTCTTGAACCTATCATAATCACTATCTACTATATTGTGCACATGTTTCAAACTCATGTCACTACTTACCCAAGACTATTCCAACAGGCAAATATTTATCAGAAAGCATTTCTCTTAACCCATGGTCAAAATATGTTTCCTTTATTTGACGGAGAATCAACCTAAAAAATTCTTTTCTGGGGCCACCATAGTCTGCAGCAACCTATATGACAATGACATGAACATGAGAATATCCCTAGTACCATTTCAGTTTTAATATTATAAATATGCGTAGTAATCAATATGCATAATAATCATTCAATACCTCATTATAAAACTGAACTTCTAATGTTCTCCTCAGGTCAGTGATACTGCTAATTTCATCAAAAGCAGTCTCCAGTAGGTTATCTCTGTCAACCAAAATAAAATTGGTTTCCCCTTCGCATACGGTTGAAGGATCCTGTACATCAAGAGCTCTACCATAGACCACATTGAGCTGGAGGGATCTCAAAATCTCGACGGGGTTGACAACTTCATGTTGCTCACAATATTTTAAAGTTGACTCAACAGCATCTTCTAAAGAATGATTGCTACCAAATATACCATCAACATTACCTCCAACATCTTGCCTGCTTTCTTCTGTTTCATGGTGTGTCACCATTATGTTCTCATCATTATCATCTATGATGATTTCCTCTCTCTGAGAATGGTCATTGGCATTGAAGGAACCTTGCTGTTCTCTTGTTCTTGAATTGAGGTCAGCCTCTGAAGCAGGATCACTTCTCACATGGCTCTCAATCGGCTCATAACTAGTACTAGTGCCAGAGTCCTCATCAGCATTTCTCACAGGGTTTACACTTAACTCACCACTGTTACCACTGGTACTATTGCCAGCATTGTCATCAGGACTGTCATTGATTAATTTAGTTGAGCAAAGCCATATGTGACTTCGCAAATCTTTAACCAAGAACTCTTGTTGGCAAAGGTTGCACGTTTCTTTAATAGAAGAAATATTGGTATCTTTACCAACAGGTGTTGTTGAAAGTGATTGTTGAATAGGCCTTAGATAAATTTTAGCTTGTCCACCGCCTAGGGAAGCTTTGAGGTCGCTTGCTGACCACGATGAGTTGATGACAGATAGATCCCTGCAGTTGGGCATGCATAACATCATTTCAAAACCACCAGCAGAACCAACCTCGTACCCAGGGTCTTTACTCGTGGGGAGAAAAGACCCTGGTTGCCGCTGGTCACGTGGCCTATAAAAATTGCATCGCCTCAGGGGGTGTGGAGAAAGTATCATATTACATGCTTCCACTTGTTAGCTGTCATTTCTGCTGTCGTCGCCATGTTGGAATACATTGCCTTTTTCTCGTGCTTGGAATTTGCGGTTTTAAATAGTTTATATAAAAAAATTACCTTAAAACCAAAGCAAGTTATCTGTCTTGAGAGTATTTACTTGCAAAAGGATGTTATGTGCGTTTTACCAACGGGATATGGAAAATCTCTGATCTTCCATCTTACGCCTGTACTGTTGTTCGCGAAACATAAATTGCGCGGTTCTAGTTCGAAATCGAGTATTTCAACGGAACAGATAGATTCAATAGTCATCGTTGTATCGCCTCTTAATTCCTTGACGAGTGACCAAATATCTCGCTTAAGTACGAGTGGAATCCGAGCGTCCGTTTTGAATGTGAAAGAGCCGAGAAGTCGGGAACTTGATTCTGACGAGGAATATATGAACGATGATGTAGATGTCGATTTCAGTCTGTGCGAAGAGAACAATTTACGTGTTGGAGCTTATAACATTGTTTTTGCGCATCCAGAGACTTTGATTTCCAGTAAATATGGACGGGAATTATTGCTGAGCAATATCTACCAAGAGAATGTTGTTGCTATTGTCGTAGACGAGGCTCATTGTATAGTGGAATGGTTAGTATTTTGAAAAATGAAAATTCCAATATTAGTAAACAGATTTTCTAGTATACCATGTGTAAAATTTGGGTAGCCATCTGGAAAAAAATGGATGCTTCACTAAACAAATTCTATGACATTTTTGTTTCGTACTGTAGGGGGAAAGACTTTAGGAAAGATTACGGAAAACTGGGAGTATTATGTGCATTGTTCCCAGATGTCCCATGTCTTGCCATGACTGCAACAGCTAATAGGATGGACATGAAGGCTATTCAGGACTCACTTGGATTGAAAAATTGCATTTCTATTGTTGCCAATCCAGATAGGAAAAATATTTTTTACAGTAAAATATTTCGATCTGGACAAGACATTGATGCTGTCAAGTCTATTTTGGAGCCAATTGCAATTGGTCTTCTCCAAGAAAAGAATCAATATCCTTTAACAATTGTGTATACACCCTTAAAGATATGTGGATTTGCATATAAATTGTTTGAGCATATTCTTGGTCCCCAACAGTATTACCCTCCAGGTGCTAAACCAACCCCATCAAATAGGTTGTTTGCTCAGTTCCATGCACCACAAACTGACCAAATGAAAGAAGAGATTTTGAAACAGCTTTGCTCAAAAAGAAGTATTATTCGGGTGGTTTTTGCAACTGTTGCCATTGGAATGGGTGTGGACATACCTAATATACGTCAGGTGATTCATGTTGGACCTCCATATTCAGTCAAGGCATATTTTCAAGAGACTGGGCGTGCTGGAAGGGATGGCAAGCCATCAACAGCTAGCCTATATTACAATAACAGAGATATTGGTAAGAATAGAGTTGATATGCAAGACGATATGCGTAACTTTTGTTCGACTTATTGGTATGCACCAACTCGAGTGTGCTTGATATGTAAATGTATGAAGCACCCGCATAGCAGATATATTTACATAGCAAGCACACTCGAGTTGGTGCATACCAATAAGTCACATGACAGGTATATTGATATACCTGATTTGGACAACATTAATGACAGCGGCTGTATATATATATACAACCTTTTTGACAACAACTGTATATACTAAAAGTATTAAATTAAATTATCTTATATGTAACAAAGTTTAATATATGGCATAATACATATAAGTCTATTTACACACTAATGAATCCAGTGAAACCACTGAGTCCCAATGCACCCAGACAGACCTTACTTTAGTATTTTACTGGTAGAATATATCACTCAACAACAGAACAGTGCCAGTGCCAATGAGTATATCAATCTGGCATATGTGTACCATGGTTAAATTGTGATATGGGTAGTTAAATTGTATTAGGAGGTGATGGGTTTCAAATGGTTCAGTCTCAAATAATTTCCCCCAAATATAGCAATAGTACTTCTGCAGGTTTTCCCTTATGTTATTGTCTTCATCACTAAACCTCATTTTGGTGTAAAGCAAATATATTGCATCACGTAAGTGTTGCAGGTAAAGACAATAGCATAAAAGAAAACACTGCACAAGTGCTATTATAATGTTTTTATTTTAAAATTAATCATTCAGTTGATTGTTCTCTGTCATCAAACACTGGGTAATGCATGAGAATGTTGTTCTTATGCCTGTCAATCCATTCCTTGAATTTTTCTTCATTGAATGAGTGTAGTGGATCACACGAGATATTTCCAAATGTCTCAAACATCCTACCCTCTTCCTTCCTAAATGGTCTTAATGCCCTCAAATCTTTCCCTATCAGTTGTTCATCATCAGCTGACGACTTGTGTGTGTGGCCTGATGACTTTGGTCGAATATTCACCTGACCTTCGAATGCCTCCACAATTTTCGAAACTCCTCCTGATGCTTTGCTTGCCCTTTCGATTGCCTTTTCAGTTTTGTTAGCCCCCATAGAACGAATCAGTTTTTTCATCTCGCAGTTGCGGTTCTCTTGAAATAGATCAATTTCAATGTTCTTTCCATTCCCACCTTTCCAATTAACAGTAGCAGCCCATTTGCATCTATGGGCTTCAGCTTCTGATAAGAGGACTTTGGTTTGCAAAATATTGATGAACATTTCAATTGCAAACTCATTAAAACCAGAAGTGGAAAAGAAATGTTGTAACAGCTGCTTTCTTAACACACACAGGTACTCACCATTACCTGTTGCAACAGCATCCTTTATATCTGCCAGCAGAAGGAATGACTTCAAGATGTTTATACTGTAGGCCCAAACACCATCAGTCGTCTCATCATCACCAGATAACGTAGTCTCATCATCAGTTGCCACAGTCTCATCATCACCAACAAAAACATACTCATTGAGGAATTTGTCCAGGGTATTGTTGAGGTAGCTCTTCTGGTACTCTTCACTGAGAACATAAACACTATGAGGACCGTTTGCTGTTGGCTTGTGTTTTGCATCACCCATTTGGAAAAACTCCAAAAGGGCTTCGATAACAAAACACTTACCAACACTGAAAAACAGCTGCTCACAATCCTCATAGTGTTTGACATCAGCTGTAACATTTCTCCTGTTTAGCTTTTCCCTGAAGAAGCGAAGTGTACCCTTTTCCCTTCCAGAATTGAGATATAATTTCTTAAAAACAGTCTGAAAAGCAGTAAATGAAATATTAGAAGACAAATATTCCAAGGACATACCTGTTTAGTATTCGACACAATCTACCCAATTGCAGTACCAGTGTTGATACATTAATTTTGCAGAGACCAGTGTAAATCATGGGTGCAAATAAAACTACAGGCGCAAAATAATTTATAGGAGTAGACAATTATACACTACAATACCTTAAGATAACTTCTCTTCGTATGCCAGTCAACAATGCAAAAGGGATAGAGATGATCCAACCTCTGCTTGGCTGAATGGCACCCAGCACGTAAATCTTTTGCCCCAGCAAATCTAACACGGGTGAGTTGATCTCCAAAGCATGGTACTTTCACACCATGCAATGGATCACTCTCAGATGCAGCTGGTGGGACATGTGAGGCAGGTTGATCAGGTCTTGATGTTGTTCCAATTGCAGGTGTACTTTCACAGTTTTCTTCAGGCTCTGGTGCACACAGTCCAGCTGATGAATATATTTCACGAGTCCACTTCTCAAGTTGGTCCAAAACATCAACACAGTCCGAGTATTTCTTTTCATCTTTCATAAGTACTGGCATTGTGACAACCTCAGATTTTTCGGATAATTCTTTGGAATAAACACATTTGGTGGTTTGAGGGGTAAATGGTTGAAACATGGCGAAGGATGGTAAATGTTCAAACAAAATTTTGGCAATGATGACCTGGTACCGACTTCGTATCTCTTTTAGCTCTGAATCATTTACAGCCACCACATCCCTGGCATTGATTTTCCTGAGATCCTGCTGTGGACCAGAGTCAGAAAAGCCTTGGTCTGGTACTCGATTAAAGACAATACTGGAAGCAACTGCATGAACGCTACGGTTTTGAATATCCTGCCTCATATCATGTGCTTTTTCTTCCCAGTCGATATTGTCTAATACGTAGACAAACTTGTAACCAGACTTCACTAGCTCTGTGGCACGGTCAAGTAAATGTTTTCCAACATCGTCAAGGATCTTGTACTTTTTGGTGGGCTCAAGACATAGCCCATATTTATTCAATTTGGCAATACACTAAATAACAGATGATCAAAAAAACAAATGTTGAATTCTGGGGAGAAGGTACAAAAGAATCAGGAATCACATACAAGGCTACAAGATCAGTTGTCAATCATTCTAAAACAGGTACAGCATTCAATAAGAATGCAAATTCAGAATTTTTGGTTCTAAATACACAAACAGAATTGAATGGTAATATTTAGTTAAGTCAGCTGTTAGTGTTACAGTACAATGAAGGACATGATGAGCCTGTGTGTAAAATAATTTCAGTATTACCTGACTACATATGCTAAAAACCCTTTATTTACTAAACACTTGTAAATCCTAACCATGCATATGGCATATCCTATCAGTGCATTGGTGATCTCGTTCATTTGGCCACACATGCACAAAATTGATTTAACTGCCTGGCAACTGCCTAAAGCTAGAAGCCTAAGCAATTTTATTTACAGCAGTTAAGCAGAATTCATTGTCTCATAGCAATTTTTCATACTGTTGATGTGGCTCCAATATGGATAGTTTTAATCAGAGGGCTTAATTAAGTATTTAGATTACTTTATATTTCATAACATATTTAACAACACAAAAAATTACTTGGGCATGAAAATGTAATGACTTACATTAACAGATGCTTGACCTTGTACCAACAAAACCGAGTTTATTCTCTGAATTCTACTCAATTCATGGCATCTTAAGAACATTATGATGCCATAAATTAAGCAGATGCCAGGATTCTTCTTCCCCGGATAGATGCTGCTTTCTATCAGAGATAGCAGTATTTTGTTCACAACTGGACATCTGGTTGCCATCTCTTCTAACACTTCCGACATCCAACCCTCATCTGACATACCATCATAGGATATTTGCCTGAGAACAGATGGTTCACTTCTTCTGGCAACCTCAATCAATTCTTGATTTGCCTTAGCCAAATCCAATAATTCACCTTCCTTTAAATAGGCAAATTAGAATATATTTTAAAAGATATCAATTTCGAAACATTTCACTATAAATTAAAATTACTATGAAGTATGAACCAAATATAGATCTTATTATTCATGACCATGATTAAATATTAATCATTTGTGAATATCACGCCTCATTAATAGCGCTAAATATTCTACAAGAAAAATATCAAAATACTAGAATTAAACAGCATTACACGCAAAATAAAGAACACTTACTTGTGAAGGTAATGTTGTAGGACTTGCGCTTTCAGAGGTAGCGATGTCAAAATCAATACTGCGTCGACGCGTAATCCCAGTTGCTCGAACTTTGGGTGCTGGTTTATCGACCGACGGCGATATCTCAACACAACGTTTGGCACGGATTTCTTCTTGTAGTTGTTGCTGCGTTTCGTAAATTGTTTTCTTTAACAGTATAGCAGTTTTTAGTCTTCTCTCACATGGCCGACAGATCAAGTGCGGAAGGTTGCTACTTTGTGGCAACTTATCGCCGAAAATAGTCTCAACGTCACGTAAAATCGCGACGTTAGAGTCCCGAAACAAACCTTTACAATGCCTCGGATCACCAACAGAATTACAGAGTCTGCAGCGCGAGATATTGACCGACGATTTAGATGGATTCTTGTAGTACTTTTTTGGCGTGCCTTTACTAGCCATTGGCGAAAACTGAATGAGTATTCTTTTGAAATTTGATCTAATTCCATGATTAACATGTAACTTAATACTCCATTCTTCTGAGGCCATGGCAGTGTTATTGAATTGCAATAACACAAAATCTTCAAGCGTGAACTATGTATATTTTTTCTTTTTGCGAAGGACAAAACACAATACTACGAGGAAAATTTTCCGATAACAAACGTACGCTCCTCTCCCACCCCTCCCACAGGAAAATTTCAATTTAGCACCCAGAATCTGGGTGCCACGTGACCAGCGGCAACCAGGGTCTTTTCTCCCCACGAGTAAAGACCCTGGGTACGAGGTTGCAGCAGAACGCAACTGTGGAAAGCCCATCACGGTTTGAGTCAGGTCGTCTTTAGCATCAGATGTAACCTTATTTTTTACTTTTTCTTCATCGTCATCGAGGTCTAATTTAATTTTCTTAACACCCAAACCAGCTTTATATAGGATCTGCTTTTCGGATGCCGATGGGACTTTCGAAGTGTATTTATCTGCAAGGCACAAAAACTGCACTGTCCATGGTCGTTTCTTAGTCGTCTTTTTGTTTCTTTCTGCCGATGTTGTTCTTCGGGAAGATGATGTGCTGGGAGAAAACAGCAGCGATCGTTCTCGAGCCAAAACGGAACAATGACTTTGATTAGTATTTATAGATTGACTCGCCAGTTTCTTGCGGCATGATTCGCGTAAACGAGCTCGTTCGCCAATTGTATTTACGCCAAGACGATTCAATTCCGTGTCAGTTAGTGAAACTAGCGCCTCCAGATCAATGCGTTCTTCTCTAAATCTATCAATAAGTGTTCCCAAACCAACTTCTTGTAAAATAACATCCATCCCAAAACATGTAAGATAAATATCGTGATCGTAGATGACAAAGATGGCGGCATACATAAAAATGTAAAAATGGCGGGTAGTCAGTTGCAAATTGGATCTTTCAGGTGTCGATGTTCATTTCCGCCGAGCGTCCGATAAAATCCGACAATATCCGGTATATCCCGATCTAACCACCACCACATAATGATAAAAGCACCGCGTAGAAAGGTAAAAGCACGACATATCGATAATATACCGCGTAAAATATTTGAAGCACTGCGTAAAATAATGAAAGCACCGCGTAAAATACTAAAAGCACCGCGTAAAATGATAAAAATACCGCGTAAAATATTAAAAGCACCGCGTAAAATATTAAAAGCACCTCGTAAAATATTAAAAGCACCGCGTATGATGTTCAAAGTACCCCGTATAATGATCGAAGCACCGCGTAAAATGCTTTTTGATCACTTAAGACAGTTACGGCTTTCCATATCAATCTCTGAGGACCACACACTGCGTACTACTGGGTACTAGTTGTTATACTTCACGGAATGCACAGGCAACATTCCGGTGACGCATCAAAGCACAATTCTAAATTTTAGAACTAACGCTTTAAGCGTTTTAGAATAGGTGAAACGGGTGAATGGTAATGGGTCCTTTGTTGTTTCGCCTGTTGGCTCGTGGTCGGTAGTCTCAGTTTTGCCCTGCGTACCAGACGTATTAAACATAACCAAATTATCGCGAGCGATTTTGAGATAACGAGATTTAAAATCTATAATACAATCAAAATGCTAAAGAAAATCCTTTCCCAAAATAGCCATATAATGAAGTTTAGGTAAAACACATGTTTTTACCATATAACTAGCGTTACCTAAGTAGAATTCCAGATTTACATCACCTAAAACCTGAACTATTTCGCCACTCGCGGTCTGCGCTGTTTTACACTGCCCTGATGTTCCTAAAGCCAATTTCGAATTTTGCCGAATTTTCTCCCAGAAAGCTTGATTAATTACAGTAATAGCGGAACCCGTATCAATGAGAATATTCGCATCAATGCCTTCGATTTTTCCAGTTACAGTGAGGTAATACGTTTTTCGAAGTGATGCAAATGCATTGTTTGGAGCAGAACGTTTTCGTGCAAAGAGAAAACAAGGTTTAACGTGATATTGACTAGATACATATGCACTCTCTTGCTGTGAAGCATTCAAGGGAGGTGGTGGGGGAGCAGGCAGAGGTAATGCTGGAAAACGGGTAGACCTTCCTGAATAAAGGTTTGATCTTGGGTTATTTTGATTAAAATTATTTCGTGTAGTTTGCCCCGGTGTGTAGTGTTGACTACGTTGTGGTTGAAATAATGTACTTCTGGGTGAATTAAAAGTTGTGCGGTCTTGTGAAAAACTTGAACGATCCAAGTTTAAAAAACAACGACTTGCAATATGCCCTACTCTATTACAACGATTACAAATTTCTCGACCATCCGTGGTGCGTCGATTACGCGAAGCATTATAAGCATTTGGAACTATTTGTGTCGGCCCCATTCTCGGTCTAATGTTGGCCGGCGTTGACTGAACTTGGTTTTGCAACCTCATAGTCAGAATGAGTATTACGTGCGGTCTCGACGTGTGCTGTCGAGTGCGACGAAACAAAATCTATAGGCGTTAAGGCACGCGAACTTGGACTTCATAGAGCTGAAGTTACTGGGCGTGAAAGCGAATTTTTCAAACGCGCTGCATCAACAGCGGCGGCATATGTATCTGGTAACTGCAAAATAACATGCTCTTTCAGATCTTGACGTAGTCCTTGAACAAAGCATTGCATAGTTTCGGCATCGGTTAGCTGTAATCGCGCCGATGTTCGCCTAGAGTTTGATGCTAGTGAGGATGTGTTTACACGTGTACTTGGTAGCGTCTCAAAGGGTTTTACCGAAAGGGGAAGGTTTATTTACACTTTATCAGTAAACCGCGAGCTTGATGATATTCTTGGGCAGAAATGGGACGAACGAATTCTAAATATTCGTGGAGATTTTTGCTTCATTGTCGAAGGAACTGTGAAATTTTGGTTGGGCAGAAAGTCTTCACTACTTGAGTACAAGATTGTAGGGAGCAAGCATGTGAAAACTGAAATCGAAGGCTGCACTCAGTTGGTTTTTACTTTCGTGAAAAATAGTGGAAATAATGTACAATATAAACGAAGACACAAGATTTAATGAGATCAATTGTATAATAATAGTTCATTTTCTCATTGCGAAACAAAAAATCAAATTTATATATAGTGTGCTTATTATATACAAGGTGTTTGTGTTATCCCCAATAGCTGTGCAACGGTGCAACCCCCATTACTTGCAAATCAGTTACATTGACCACTAGCTGTATCATTAGTAAGTACTGTGCACTTAGGGTGATATTTGCCATTCTGCTTTACCAGGTGTGAACAACAAATTGAGCTATTACAATTCTTACATACCTCAGAGCATGTTTTCATTGTGTGTCCGGGATTGTTACAATTAAAGCAGGTATAATTATTCTTAACCCTGGCACAGCCAGTTGTTTCTAAATATTGAACTCTGTTCTTTTTCAAGAAAATCTGTTCAAGTGCAGAGATACTCCGATGGTTACTAGACCTGAGAAAATTTTTGGATGTAATATCGTTGTATTTTTCCATGCCCTGTTGTGTAAAATATTCTAGGTTGGAGTGTAGATTTAGGAACTCGGGCACATGAGCATACAGGGCATGGATCGATATACGGTGTTACATTTTTTGCCAGGTATATCGTCAAGTATAGTTCCAACCAGGAGGTGATCTTGCTTTTGAGAGCAATTACCTCAATAGAATTAAAATCCTTTTTCAAATCCTGTCTAATGTTCCAAAACCCATCCCAAACTTTCTGGATTGTGTCAGCATTTTCTGAATTTGGCAGTAGAAAGGATATATTAATTTTTTGGAAAAGCTTTACCTTCTCTGGTCCTGTTAAGTCTCGGTACTCCAACTGTTTGCTTTCTTTGCCAATGTACCAAGAAAATGGTATGCCCAATTCTTGCAAGAATTTTTCATATCTAGCCATATGTCTGTATTTTTCTCTTTGAAAACCATCTGAAAATTTGATTTTTTTTTTCAATTGAATCACAAATTTTGAGCTGCCGTATCAAGTTTCCAATCAGGTTATCAGAAATTCTTAAGAAGAGATAAAGGGTGTCGATTACCACATGGCTAAGGAGAATGAAAGGGAAAATTGGCTTGGATTTACAATTGAGTTTTCTGGATTTGGCATATTGTTCAATCTCTTTTACTGTCCGTGCACCATTGTTAGGGTCCAAAATAGACCAATGCTTTGTGGTGTCACATCGGTCCAGACGAGCACATTTGCACCATATGTAGGCATACACAGCATTTGCTGCCCCAATGCCACAAACACAAGCAAGGAACTTCCAATCCTCCTTTCAATCTGACAGACTTTCAGCTAATTAGATGTACATGATCCCAGTACTAGTAATTAGATATACATTATTCTTAGTCAGAGTAATTACATATACATTATTTTAAACTTTCCAGTTGGTGAATACGCGGCCAACACATCCCTTGACAAATCATATCATGTATTCATCAAAGCATATTCATCAAAGTGGAGTTCAAGCTAAAGATCTAACTATTTAGATTAACATCGCACGATGTAAATGAGTAGTGCATATATATTTCGTTTTCCATCTATGACGACTGTTGTATCCAGCGTTGTTAAATCGATAGCCAAAATTGCAGTCGTTGCGCTCTTTTTTTATCTCATGGGCGAGAATTTTTAGATAGCGCCGCAAAGGTTACCTTTTTTTTTCTTCGGGCAAACGTTTCAGTTTGCCTTTCACTCTGCGTTATTTAGAATCCTTGGGTACACAAAAAAGTAGCAGCCTTTTTTATTGATGTATCTTTATCTCAGGACACAATGCTGGGATATTTTGACGATCTTACCATTGAAATGAAACGGTTCAGAGTCAAAAGGAAAATGCTTCCGGTTATCGCTAGGGTAAAAAACGTATTAATATTCACAACCAAAAGTTTCACATGCAGTCGAGCAAACATGCAGTCACTTACTTCTACGTTTTTATGGTGCGCAACATTCAATTAGACCGTGCATATTAACTTGTTGTTGTGAACCTCAATTATCGATGCTCACGCAATGCTACTGTGCTTCTTTTTTAATTACCGCTGCATGAACAGAATCATAAAAGTAGCCAGTGTAAATATCATTTAATAATACGAGAATTAATATTATACTAATTTTAAGTTTCGAAGAAATAGAAGTAAATAAATAACCAATTAATTTAGGATTATCTACATGAAAATAACTAATAATAATATAAATGTAAATAAAATAAATACATTACGTATGAATATAAGAAATATATATATAACCAGGAATTTTTACAAAACCACTATATCTGTCCTCACAGTTCTTCACAAATCTTTTGAGGCATGATGAAAAACGGCCTTATAAATTTTTCACGCATCATGTTTCATCACTCATTATCGTGCTTTGTTTTAAATTATCAATTAT